GGTGGTAATAAATAATCAACGAGACTTAGCCACAGCCCGGTAAATTCAGATGGCAAGCTAGCTGCCAGCCCTAGCCCATACCTATTAATATGTATGTCGAGGCCACTACATGGCTGAAGTAAAGTCCGAAGGAAAGTAAAGCCGGTACAAAGACCAAGAATGGAAAAAAATTGAGGCGCTCCTCTGATTTTCACCCATAGGTAAGGAAAATAAGACTGGGACTCAAGATCAGGGCTGCTGCGGCCTTTTTTGCTGCTTTTAATTGCTAAATCCGGTTAAACATTAAAAAGACTGGCCAAGAGAGAAAATAGTTTCCGATATGGTAGTATGGCAGTAGTCGCATTTCAAAGTTAACATAGCGCTGGAGAGAAAATTGTGAACAAATATGTCCAAAAGATGAACAAATTTATTCCCTAGCATTCAAGATTATAAATATAAATGTTATATAAGAAATTTGCCCATCGCTTGTAAGATATTCCATATGTCTAGTGTGCAGGAGGTAAGGATAATACCAAAATTGCGCTCTTTAGTCCATAGTGTGTTACACAACGCCCATAGTGTATGCGTTCATGTATGTTCCTGGTAATAAACATATATTTCAATAATAAAAAACAAAATGAAAAAACGGATGCAAGGATTAAGTAATTATGAATAGAGGCTAGTAAAGGGTGGAGGATAAAAGTTAGCTTTTGCAACAAGCAAGGCTTCTTTCCAGTTCGTAAGTGTAATGTCATTAGCTCAGGACGAATTCTAATGAATATTGCAACGTCATCTTTATTTTCTCATTACCAAGCGATGAGCCGGTCTCTGGACCGACACAGTGAGGCAAAGGTAAATAAAATTTCAACAATTGTAAATATCGCTGAAGACATGAATCCTTTTGATTAGGCTAATGGAGTGTTTGGTGTTTCCCCCACCAAGGGCTTTTTGGAGCAAAGAGAAGGAAAGAGAAAATTAGTCTTAAATGAGGAATCAAACAAACCTTGCCGGTTGTCAAGTTTCCAGCGTGGCCACGGGTGTGTCGTAGTGATCCGGCAGCTGCTCGGCCAGCAACTACGGGATGAGCTGCCGACTCACCAGAAGGGGCTAGTGCCAGAGATGCAGGCTGACCAGCCAGACCGGGTGGCATGCCAGGAGGTGAGACACGAAGGAGACGGGCAAAGTGGAAGCGCACAGGTGGCAGGTCGAGCCGGACTGTTGGTTGGTGCTGGTCTGTCGAATAAATCTGTGATGTTGTCTGGATCGCACTCGCGACCATGGATGACAGAGAGGGGCTTTCTGACTGCTGAGGCGTGATGCGCTGGCAACGACGTCGTGGGACAGATGTAATCGGTTGGCAGGACCAACTATTTATTATGGGGCTATAAGGCCCAAGAGGCGCTGGAGATGCATTAGCACCGAGCATTCTGCGGTCTCTGTTGCGGTCGCCGATGGTGGTCAGTTCTGAAGTTGTTGCAGAAGAGGCGGCGTAAGGCTGGCATGCAAACCGAACTACCGGAAGACGTCTGCAGGAGTTTATCTGCAGCGACTGTTCTCGAGGTACGTCGTATCCGTCTGCATCGACCTCGTGCTTGAAGCCGACAAGGGGTCTGGAACCATGAAAGAGAAAAGATGAAATTGAATTGCATTACTTTAGCTATTCGTTAATTTATACAGTAGACGACAGCGGATTCCTCTTGATCAGCTGTCGATTGGCTTCACTGGAGGAACATTCATGCTGACGCTGTTTCCGAGGTGATCTACTTCGATTCCAGTGAAAAGGTGCTAAGCTTTCGTCCATCATATGACGAACATCATCATCGTTAGCTTGAATTTGGTTGTGATTATGATGCCTTGCTCTGATGATGTTCGTCATATGACGAATAAGCACTTTTCACCGGAATTGAAGGAGATTACCTCTGAAACAGCGTCAGCATGAATGTTCCAGTAAAGCCAATCGACAGCTGGTCAGGAGGAATTCGCCGTCGTGTTCTGGTGGAATCGATCTTCGAATCTCTTCACCAAACACTTTCACTCGAAATGGAAATAAGCACAACAATTATGAAACAAGATATTCCTCGAAACCCAACTTTTCTTCGCATATAATTTATACCGATACGAAGATACAAAATTACCAACAATTAAGACTGTAAAGTATATTGCATTGAAACCCACGCTCATCATAATTATGAATAGCGAAAGGCCTGTCTTGCCTCGAAATTACAGTGGAATTAAGTGGCAAAGTGTGCTTCAGTCACTATGGCTTTACAGGAAACGTTGATGATTTTGTGCGAGATGAAGCAGAGAAAGCTTGATGTTTGCAAC